TTTGTGTATGTATTCAGCAGTCTGTGTGTTTGTATGGTATGAGTGTATTGCATTTGATGGAGGTACCAATAAATATAAGCTTAATTTTATTGATAATTTAAGGGGTTGTGTAAACAGGGTCCAATGATGTTGTTAAGATGGCACTGTATACTAGTTAGGGATGACACAAATACATTCTTCGAGCAACTGCTCACCATGAAGAATTACATTGAAAAAAATCTTCTGTCGAGGAGCTGAAAATTGTCATAGATCAAATGATGCTCAAAATCAATGCTTAGATATCCTCAACAAGTCCTTAGGCTGCATCTCCAGTCAGTGTCCTCCTTAGGAGGCCAGCCATAAATCTACACACCACCACCTTACCCCTGGAACATCAGCAGGGATCAACTGTCTTATCCTCATATAAAGTTTTCTAATAGTTTATGAACTCACACCACAATCCCCAGAGGGTCTTGGCTCAGTTCCCTAGATTTGTTTGTTGTTCATTCTCAATAGCCCCCTCAGTGCACACTCTGAGTCAAGTTTATTAACTGCATGTATATCTGAAATCTTTCATAGAAAACTCATGCCACTTGTGTTTTTGTTTTCAGTCAACATTGCCTCCAGGATGCATGCAAGCGAAAGCTCCTTCAAAGAACACATCTTCCTCAAAAGATTGGAGGATTGTATAACAGAACCTCTAAAAAAAGCTTTAAAAGGGATCCAGAGGAGAGTAATGGGTGGTAAACCAGATTTATTGGTGACAATATAGAGCAAAAAGACCCTCAATAGGGTCCTACACTTCAGCATTCCACAGGAGACCATTGTTCATACTCCACATTGAGTCCATTTCCAGAGGGCATACCTAAAATAGGTCCATAATGACTGGCCTATGATCTGACCATGAGGATGACATTATATCACAATGGATGTCAAAGAAAATGTTATATTGCAAAATCAGGAAATATTTGATCTTAAAATAACTGCCATGGGGATACAAGTAAAAATTAAATCACAGGATGCATACTTCTTCACGAGTTGCATTGGTGCAATTCGCTAAGGAATTGCCTGAAATGATTATCAAAGGTTTTAAGAACAGTGCTCTGTTATGGTACCAAATTCTTCTATATTAAACTGCACCACTGAAAAACTTATATATATTTAATCTTCCATAAATATCCTGCGGGGTTTCTAAAGAAGCAGTGCTTCTTATTATTACTTGAAACATTTCATAACTCACTTGTTGCCTCTAGCGTTCTTAGTCAAGTCCTCTGTAATTCAAAGATAATAAAATGTGTTTTCTGACACTCTTACGATGTTTCATATAAAGATGTGACGCTGCAACCTTCCTTTAAATCTAACACAATTCTAAATTACAGTGATAGTTCTCCTGCTATTGAATGCCCTTTAACCCCAATATGTGCCCAATATTAAAAGCAACTAACACAAAAGGCTAAGTCTCTTTAATGAAAAATACAAAAGTAGCAATCAGCAAACCAGTTGGAGAAAAATTGTGAAGTTACTATTTGCAGATAAATAAAAGAGTAAAGTCACAATAAAAAATAACCTATTTACATTGACAATACATCTTTTTCAAGATCTACCCAAAATAAAACCACCAGATTAAAAGATTGTAAGGTTGTTTTAATTAACAATTGTTTTCCTCTACCTTTTTCTTTGCAATTGGCATTCAATATAAACCCGTCATTTTATTTTATATTTTATATTGTCATTTTTATTTTATATTGTCTCCAACAAAATAGTGTAAAGATGAACATGAGTAGTTTATATATATATATATATATATATATATATATATATATATATATATATATATATATATATATATATTATTCGTTATACATACAGTACATACTATTGCTGTTTATAAATAATGACCTCAATTTAATAAGATTTCCAAATGATTCAATACTTTTAGAAGAAATTTACAAATGAACATTTTTTTTCTAACCGTATTAAATCATTTGGAAAGCTAATTAAGTCAAGGCCAATATATGATAGGATATGGACTTTTTAGTGTCTGCAAATGGGTCATGATTGGACCACAGTTCCTAGGACATTAAATCTGTTTTATTAGACGTGACCACTGGAAGGTTCTGACACAACAAGGAAGTCCTGTCTCTACCAGAAAGACCAGATTCCACTTTATTAAGTTTCTAAAGTCAATTGTGAATTAATAAGATAAAAATAATATGGAATCCTATACTACAAGCCAAGAACCCTGAGTTAAAAGAATCAACACAGTATTTTTTAGATTTGTGAGCTCGTTTTTTGGGTAATTTTGATTCGTACAAAATATCAAACTCCGAAACAGTCAATAGCCATATCATGAAACGAACTATACAGAAAATCGACAAGCCTTTTTGTTTGTTTTGAGATTTGGAGTTTACATATCCCAGCAATCTGCCTGTTGACAGCAAGAGTTAATCACGTTGTTGCTGTCCAGTGCTGTAACATTAAAATGTAAAACAAAAATAAAAAATGAATAAGTCTATGATGGTAAATATGATTCCCATATTAGTACATGCTCCCTTTAATTAACAACTATGCGGATAGAATCTGTCATACCATTGTCCCCCTACCTAAACCTATGGTTGGCGGTCGGGAGCTATTAATGATAGTAGAGACCAATATAAGACATGATGGACCTTTGGCATGCCAACATCTATTAATATTTATTGCTGTCAAATGTTTATAATAGATATGTATTAGATATGAATGTATATGCTTTTCCTTGAAAACCATTGTCATTCCCATTGAATTATCTATGACTTTGAACTTGGCAAATGCATGAATGGGAATATTTCAAGAATAATGTGTTTATGTCTCCAACAATCCATTTTCTTTTGAGTTTTTGATAACATGGCCCTTTAATGGAGAAAGAATGAGGAGTAGTCAGCTATTGTCTTCCCATGTATATTTCAAATCTTCATTTGTTGTTTTGTAATTCACAGTAGAAATGCATAAAAATCATATACCATGTATTAATGACATTATACAGACTTAGGGGCCATACGTTTTTTTAAAACTTCCCTAAATTGAAAATACCCTGAAAATATGAACTGTACTGAAACAGAACATAAAATGGGTTGATGTATTTAACATCCTGACCTAATGCCTCAATAAAAAATACATACTTGACATCCACAAAAATGTATTAGATTTGCTTTGGCCTTAATTCCATAGCTTATCCATTGTTTAGGAGATCCGTTTCGCAGTGCAATATACTTAGCGCCCAAACAGGATCCTTGGCATTTCACAATATATTGAACAGTATACACACTCCAGCCAATTCTGATATTGCTAAATGTATGACGTTTATTTAAAATCTTTAAAAACAGAGTCCATGGGATATGCAGACAGACATAGATCAGAGAGGAGAAAAACAACAACAATCCTGTAAGATACAGGGTTTAATTTAAAATTCTGGTTTTTGCTTTCAAATCTCTACATAATGCTGCTTCCACCAATCTATCCTCCCTAATACACAAGTATGTCTAGGCCCTTACGATCTGCTGAAGACTTACGTCTATCTTCTGTCCGTGCTCCCACCTCTGATGCTCGCCTTCAAGACTTCTCGAGGGCTGCTCCGTTCCTGTGAAACTTGCTTCCCTCCTCCGTTAGATGCTCACCCAGTCTCTACTCCTTTAAAAAAGTGTTAAAAACTGTTAATAGCTCCCGACTGATTCCTCTTCTGCAACTGCCACTAGTCTAATATTATCCTTACCTTTTTGTGTCACTTTACCCCACTCCCTCTAGCATGTAAGCTCATTGAGCAGGGCCCTCAACCCCTCTGTTCCTGTGTGTCCAACCTGTCTGGTTACAACTACATGTCTGTTCGTCCACCCATTGCAAAGCACTGCAGAATTTGATGGCGCTATATAAATAACATAATAATAATAACAAAGAAAAAATGGGTGAGCTAAACACGTTTTGTGCTTTACTCAAAAATTGCTGAGGAAGCATCTGGGAAAGACTCGAAACGTGTTGAGCTACATTTTTCCCCCTGTGTTGTATCATTTTCTATATAAATGTCTATAAACATTAAAACATGCCATTTCATATGTACCTTCAGAAGGTTACACTTCAATTATTTGATGAATGATGTATATTGTATTCCAAATCTAATTTCATTATTACTTCATAGTGGTTATTCAGTACATTGAGCAAGTTTTGAAACCGCATGCTTATAAAATTCACACCAAGTACAAAACATACTAACCAGCATTAAACATGTCTAACAAAATGCTTCAGAAATGCTAGGGATGTTCTGCTTTGTGACTTTATGGTGCATATGGCTATAGCTAAGATGCTTAGTTACATATTTGCTATAATAAAATAATTTTTAAATTGATAGGAACAATTGTGCAGTGTTTTTCAACCACTGTTCCGCGGCACACTAGTGTGCCGCGAGATGTTGCCTGGTGTGCCGTGGGATGTCTGATGTTCTGATGTCCGGGCTGTGATCAGGGCCGGACTGGCCCACCGCGATACCGGGGGCTGCGAGGGCACATATGTGCCACCGGGTGGCCGGTCCGGTGGCACACTGAGAGGGGGCCGGCCGCGTTCCAGACTGGAGCCGCCAGGCCGGGTGGCAGCTTCGCCGGTCCGGCGGCACTCCAGTCACTGGCTGCTGATGGAGGAGGAGCCTGTCTACCATGCTCCCTCGCGGTGGAACCGCGAGGGAGCATGGTAGACAGGCTCCTCCTCCATCAGCAGCCAGTGA